TGTAGTTAGGATGAATATCAAGCATACCACCAATCAGCCCAGGCTCTCAGGAGTGAAGGGGATGATGTGACAGGGTACTGGCAAAGAATCAGCTGCGCCGACCCAAACCCTGAAGCCAAAAGCCCTAAGCCGAGCCACAGGTTGCGGTTCAGGGGTTACAGACCTGGAGGGCAAAGTTCACAACCTTTGCATCCAGGTTCCTTGTCGAACGGCGTTGGGAACATCTATTCAGTGGATGCTCAGGATCCCGAACTCTGACTGGGAGTGACCTGTCACCGCACTCCGAAGCCATGCTATCTCGTGACCGATCAACGTTGCAGTTTTTTCGGTTGTGTTGCTTCAGGGGAATGCACGACTGTTAACTCGCAAACAGCTGCAGGAGACTGATGCCCGAAGAGCAGTCCCACTTTTGACGCAGGTGGGGCCTTTCCTGAGAGTTGAATTTGGCTGCTTCAAGCGTCTTGCCGGATGCACAGCATACCTTTCTGCAATCCTTGTCTGTCTCTTTCCCTTCTCATACGGGCTGCGCCGATGATCGGAGACCAATCGTACGGGTCTGGGGCATTTTTTTGAGGATTCCGCGTTTGCCCTTGGAGCAACTGGCTCTGTCTTGTGTAGGTATCGGCAAAAAAGACGGCAAGACCTTGATGCCATGTTCTGGTAGATCCACTCAGCGAGACTGTTGCAATGGTGCCAACCCTCGGCGTTTATTGCTTCACACCTGGTTTAGCAGTCTTGCATGGGCCTTCTTTGCATGATGCATGACACATGCCTAGGTAAGCTTCGCAGCTTGGCAGAAGTCAACGCCTGTTTTGGCAGGTGCAGATGGACGCCTTAGATGCCGCATGCCAGCTCCACACGAGAGCGGTGCTTGACATCCTCGAGGCTCGAGCTTCTGCCAGCTCCTTCGGTCTCATGGATGCTACCAAGGTATGGCAGAATTGCCAGTGCCGCTAGTGGCCCAGGATAGCCATCAGTTCCAGTACTCCGATGGTAGCTTCTCGCAATGTACCGGCCGGAGGTAAACACACTACTGAATATCGCTGTTGTTGGTTTCGTGATGTGGCGGGAGTCCGGCAAGCATGGGTTTGGTTCGATGTTGAGTTGCGTTAACAAATTGGGTTGTCAGATCCGATTGAGTTTCTTTCCGTGCCCAAAAACGGGGGATCCGCTCGAGTGCAGATCCCGTTGCATAACTGCGCCAGTAGATTCGAAGATCACGAATTCTCATTGCCCGGGTAGTGTGCCTCCGCTTGGCACTGCAGGAGCGTGGCCACCGGCCTGTGTGTCATGGATGCAGCAGTGAGAACGCAGAACGATTTCGATACATATTCCGCAGTCTCCAGCCAGACTCCAGAAGACCCACGCGAGAGTGCACGAAAGCAGGGCTTATGGCATCCACAGATGTTTGTCTGTTTCACAGGGCATTTGCCAAAGGATCAAGTGTTCCTGAACCCAGGCAGAAGACTGCCCGAATCGCGGGCTTCAAGCACCTGCAGGCGGCGGGAAGAGGAATCCAAACCCAAGCTTCGCAACTGTTGTCGCCAGGGCATACCCGTGGCCCCCTGCCTGCCACTTGCCTCTCCTGTTAGGTCATCATCCCTGGCATCGAGCCCGTGGATTTCGGGGGCACCTTTCAAGGCACGGGACTTGAGAGCCGAAACGTAGCTTCGTTGCATCTCGGAGCCCTCCGCTACGCGAAGTTTAGATTTTGGGAAGCCGGGACGGAAGCCCTTGGACGGAAGGGCTGCCTGCACAGCCGCCGGGCACCTCCCTGGTCTACCGGGCGGCCTTCAGCTTCGTTTGCAGGCAGGTGGAGACGGTGATGAGCGGAGCCTTGGCTGCGGAGGAAGGCTCTCAGTGCAGCACCACATCCCTTGAAGGCTGCCAAGCCCCTAAGCTGAGAGAGTGCCAGCGTGAAAGGAACGGAGACCATCGAGTTCTCAAAGGTCGCCGTGCTCGACTTCAGTCTGAAGGCTTGCGCTCATGTCTCGTGCGCTGGCATGCGCATCTAGTGAATCTCACATCTCATTCTCCTACGCTGCTTGTCATAATCTACTACATCTACATGATCTCGAAAATGCATCGCATTGCTTCGTTTCCTGCCGAATGTGCAAGACAGCTCGATCAGAAGCGCGGCAAAGAAAGCCCACACCACATGAGCAGAAGCGGGATGTGGCGGCGTCTAGGACCTAGGAGAACCAGGGAATGACACGCGGGAGTTATGAAGCAGTTACGTCGGAACCAGAGGCTGAATGCATACGGAGGGAAGCTTTCCTGCCAGTGGCCGGAGGAGGTCGGGGAGGTGGGGGGTTTGCCGTATCGGGACAAGCCCGGAAATGGTGGCAGGAACCAGCCTGAGACCGAAACACAAACCACCTGGTTTCTGTAACACGTTCAGCACAGCACATGGCAACAGAAACCACGTCTCGCGGACCCTCCTGTTCGATCGCGACTGTTGTGTCGGCTCCTAAACTCAGCGACCGCTTTTCCGTCCTTAAGTTTCTACAAATTCAAACCTCTCAATCCTGTCGAAAGCTGGACATTCCGCGAATCATTCAGCTAGGCATGACCTTGTCAATTGCGGAATCAGACTTTCTCCATGAAGGTTGCTGTGGACATTAAGCTTCTAGCCGTGCATGACATTTGGATTCAAGCAGCGGCACTACTTCTTGCCCTTCGCCATAGCCACAGGTGCTTGCAGCACTGGGTTTTGGGGTTTAGGGTTCACGGGGATCACTTTTCTGATAAACAATTATGCACGAATGAAGACTAATGAAAGTATCTGCAACGAGTTCAATCATGCATCATTTTGAACTTATGAAACTAGAGCAGATGCACATGCTCTTACGACTATCAGCCTGCCTGCTTGTCAGGCAGCTCAGTATCCATGTAGCCGCACACGCCTGTTAGGTGCGTGTCCCAATGCATCGAAATCTTCATTGTGTCTTATCTACTTCAGGCCCCAACCGGGGTCCGGTTTTCGGTCCTCGGCCGTGCGAGCATAAAAAGCCTCCTGCCCGCGCCTTGCTGGTTTCCGTTGGCAGTTCCCGTGCCCGCCGTGTTCCTGTTACGCCGACCCCCGGTTTCCAATCACCGCGGCCTCGGGTTGCGGTTAGAGTGTGCGCGAGCGGTTTCCGTTACTCTCACCACCGGTTCCCGTTACTCCCCGCATCCGGGAGAAGTGTCGTGGGGCCGAAGAAACTCGGAGCTAAAATTCTGAGTCTCAAAGTTTCCAGCTCCATGTTGCAATTCTCAAGAGGCAGTGAGTTTTCGTCTGAACACTGACTGTCGCATGTTTTGGGCCTCGTGTGCCTTGATTGTGCCTTGTGTTTTTGGGTTCTGGGCTGTTTTGTTGACATGTTGGGCTACGTCACTATGAGACCACGTACGCTCGTGTAGTTTGTGGAAATTTCAGCACGAGATGGCCGGACGCATGCCAGGTCTGCCGTGCGCCCGTCTTCTCTAGTTCGAAAGTTGTCCTGCAATCTTGCAACTGCCCTTTCGAATGCAGCATACTCAGCCACAGGTTTCGCAGTTACTTGCCGCACAAATATAATGGCACCAGGGCTTGACTGGCCATTCCGTGCACGACGCCTACGCATCCTCCGAGCTGCGCGTGCCACCTGCCGAAAGCTATTGTCAGTCCAGGGTTAGGTGATGTTGGCAGATGCCATGGTGCAAGAAGCAGGCTCGATTCACTGGCAGCCTGTAAGCATTACACTGCTTTCTAGGATTTGCTCTTGTGTGCGTGTCTGGGGGTGTCTGGTGAACATGCTGGCAATATGCCACTTTAGGCATCATCTGAGTCCACGGATAGAGAGTGTTTGAAACGACATAATGCATCAATGGCTGCGAACCAGATGATCCCGTTTGCATTTGTGATCTCAGCAGCACCATCCAGTATTCACTGTCCATGCTGCTTATCGCATTGTCGATTCCTGGAACGATCCAGTTGGGTCCATTCACTTGGGTTTAACAAAGGCTGGACACCGAGACGCAGGCGCCTGCAGGTGCGGCATCGGGGCTTTGATTGCGGGCAGACCGTGGCTTCGTGCTTCAGACAGTCTTCTGTGCAGATTTCGAGCTGAAACGCATGTGCTCATTGTGGGATAAGGGGATGGAGCTTGCACATGAGCAGGACTGGATGGAAGGGGCAAAGGGATGGCTTTGCTAGGGGTTCTTCGCCTTTTTTCGAGGCTCCTCGCGCTTTGCTCACGAGTCTGCCAAGCGCTTCCAGTCGCAGAGCTGCCCTCGCTTTGTCCCAGCGGCTGCATTTGAAGCTCCTATAACCCTGGGGGCCGGTGCATCCCAGTACTACAGTCTTCCAGCCGAAAAAGCGCCAACCATGACCCAAGGCAAAGGTGCCTAGAGGCCAGTCTTAAGCGCAATCCCAGCGACTGCAGAAGACTCCAGGGCAAGCATCCATCAGTCGATCCTCAGCTGCACCGATCTCCAAGGTACCCAGCAAGCAGGGTGCCGAGCTGCTCTTCGTGGCAGAGGATGCGCGGGGAATGGCATGGGGGCGTTTCTTCTCATCGGTCGCTGCATACTGGCCTACTAAGTCTACTACCACTTGCTAACTTAACTTCTTTGTGCCAGCGTCTTATTGAGGCGAACTCAGCTTGCCAGGCAGCCACTCGCTGCGGACCTAAGCTTGGTTCAGATCTGCGTCCTGGTTTCCCGGTGTCTTTGATCTCGACCACAGGTGTCATAGAAATTGCTGAACCTGACCTTTATCCCTGTCTTCTTTTTTCTGATATGCTTGGTCTGTGAATTGGTCCTTGCGGCAGGACATCGCGCCGACGGGCGAGTCCGCTGCACCGCGCTGCCTGGACAGGATTTACGGTTTGACGCAAAAGCGGAAATAGCTGAATGTACCAATGCACAAGACCCCTAGTTTTTGCCAATCGGGCGAGCTGGTGGGGAGAGGGTTTTTCCGAAGAAGTGGGTTTGCTGCTCACCAGCCCCGACTTTTGTTGAAATGGACCCCCACCCCCGGTGATTCTGAACCAGCATCAGCAGCAATTTCATGGAGAGACTCAGCATCGCAGTTCAAGGGTGGGTGTTCAACCCAAGCATATCTCAATGTCAGAACTCCTCAAAAATGCTTCAAGGCTGGTCAGACCGGCCAATGTCTCTGCCTTCACGGGTTCTCGCGCAGATGCAGATGCTTCCACAGGCTGCGCTCGGGGGATGCACTTCGCGCATTCACGTGATCCTTTTGTTGCAAAATCTGTGAGTTGGGGAGGAAAGGGAAGGAGTTGTTGCTCCCAAACAGGTGCCGACTGGGAGGAAACTGCGATCCACGGAGGATGCAGAGGCGAAGTCCAAGTCTCTGAGCTCCCGGATCCTCTGCCTTGAGGTCCCTTATGATAGCATCTGTTCTTTTCGTGAGGCCCACAGCGTGCCGGAGACAAGAGAGGAGGAGATAAAGCACGGCAGTTTGCTGGAACTTGCGGCTGTTCTGCGGGTTTGAAATCTCGGGTTTGGTGGTTGGGCGTGAAAGGCAGCAACGCAGGGAGACGTCGGGCAGTTACTGTATGCTTTGCGCTTCACACAATCCTTGCGCTCGTTTCACTGACCGTAGCCTGCGAGTCTCGGACGTAGAGTTTGGAGCCCATCCCCAGCAGGATCCCGAGCCGCACCAGAAGACTCCGCAGCGGCCTCGCAGCAAGCTACTCGTAGCTCTAATCACAAAGCCCTTAGTGACAGCTCTTATTCGGACATGTAGCTCGGTCTTGGACGTGCTGAAGGCATTTTTGTCAGCTGTGCTTCATCTTGCAGCTGTCAAGAAGACCGTGTCCGGGTCTTGCCTGTCGCCTTTGCGAGGTCCAGGGAAGAAGAGGCCCCGGCCGTCGTTGCGAAAGTGTGGGTGTGGGCGGTTTCATAACACACGGATTCGTGTGAGGAGTTGATCGGATACACATGCCATAGAGCCCCAGGATCAAGCTTTAATTCTGCAGACTCGACCATCAGGTGCGACTGGCGCTGGAACGGCACGAAGCAAAGGTTTTGATGCAAGGTGCGGAGACCAGGGGTTGCTGTTGCTCGGCTCTTCGACGCTTGCAGCGCACTGCCAGGCGCCAACGAGGTGCCGAGCGTGTCCAAGATGCTGGACCTGGGCCGCTGGGCTGAAGTTCCGCTGAAGCCTAGCCGCGAGCCTTCCATCACGATGGCCTGTGCGTGCAAGACTCTGCATACACAGATGAGCAGGCAACAGATGCTTCTCAGCAAGACATGAAGCTTTGTCAGTGAGAGAGACTTGTAGTCACCCATTTTCTTTGCTCGATTCCATGTCGCTGTGTTCGACGATTGTTCAGGAGTTCGTGCATAAGAAATCCTGGTATAGACAGTCCATGCTTTCAGTTGCGGCACGGCTTGAATCGCTGCTCCGCTCTTCGTCTCAAGTCCCAGTCTGCGCTCTGCCCCGGCCGAGGAGTGCACGAGATGCCTTTTGCACCAGTCTCCGGCTGCCCGGAGTTTGTCCCAAGCAACTGGGACTTCGACCTCGAAGAGGTGTAAGTCTGGACTTGCAGATTGAGTGACACGAACTTGTGGAGAGAGTAGCTCCGCATTGTAGCCACAAGGGCCCAAGGCCAAAGGAGCCGCTTGAGCCAAGGCCTCTACTCCAGCACGAAGACGCTGGCGGAGGCCCGAATGCCGAATGCCGTCGTAGGTTTTCATCTAACATTTCACCCACAGGCGAAGGAGACCAACAGCATGATTCGGTGCGGACATCACATTCATCCGTGTAGGGCCTTTCAGGAATCTTTGCAGGGTTTTGACACCTTCCCGAGAGCCAGGCTTTCCGACAGGACCTCTTCGCAAGTCCGGAGGAGTGACCCTGCGGGTGGTGGAGAAGTGTTGGTGTCGGATCGAAAGTCTACGTGCACAACAGGTGCAAGTGAAGAGGTAGTGTATGTCGTGGTAGCACAGTGCTAGAGGGGATTCTCGGGATAGTGGTGATCGCCCATGAGCAAGACATAGCAGGTAGTCATCCCCATCATCGTAGCAGCGACAGCAGCAGCAGCTTCTGCTGCAACAGTAGTACAGTACAGTAGTGGTAGTGGTATCAGCACAAGTAGCGCTAGTGCTGGTAGGAGTGTTGGTGGATTTCGTGCTAGCAATGAAAGTATAGAAGCACGAGGGGTCATATAACAGATAATCGGATGTGATAGCAGCAGCACCAGCGACAGTGGCAGGCGCCGTCATGTCGCAGTCACATGCAGTCACAATCGTCGCAGCAGCAGCAGCAGCAGCAGCAACAGTGGCAGTGTTCGAAGCAGTCGCAGTGCCAGTGGCAGGGCAGAAGCAGCAGTCATCGCAGGAGCGGCAGCAGTGGCAGCTGCAGCGCAGTGTAGCAGCAGACGCAGTACCAGTACCAGTGGCGCTAGCTGGTAGCTCTAGCAGTTGCAGCATGAGTGGGAGTATGGTAGTGGGAGAAAGTAGAACGTCATATCGCAAGTCATCGCTTTTGCTTGCGCATGTGGGTGCGCATGTGAAGATTCTCCCGAGTGCAGCGAGACCCGCGAGGAACGCCAGCAGCAGCAGCTTCGCGAGGAACAGACGCGGGACTCCTTCGCGCTGGCCCCAGGGCCTCAGCTCGATTCTCCTCGAGGGCTTCACCAGCAAAGCGTTCCGGATAGCTGCTTGCTGAGCTGTTCGCCAGCCACGCACTACCATCCCGAAGCTCAGCGACAAAGCGTCGCTTTCATTTAAAGCATGTTCTGTCGGACTGGGGATAGCTCGATCTTGTACAGAGGCCATGGATAAGGCCCGTAAGGTTTGCTCCATCTCTCGAAGTTTCGATGCTGCAGGGATGGACCTCGAACAGCTCTCAGAAGCCTAGTGGCGCAGAAGCCTTCTTGTCAACCGCCTGTGACGAGGTCGTCCTCACGGACCCAAGCAGCAACTCCGTCCTGGGAATCGATGCCCAGGCGCGGACTAACTGCGCTTCAAGATTGAGTCCCACGTTGAATCCCGCGATATCAGAGGTGCAGCTAAGAATCGGTTCTTGGCTCTAGCAACGAATCTAGAGCTTCTGCATGGAGCACCAGCAGACTTCAATAGTCAGACACCGTGGAAGTTGCCAGGTCCTCGCAGGGTCGCTTTCTGTCGGACCTCCGATGGGCGAGGCAAAGCGTTCAACCGCGTCAAGATGTTCGGGTTGGGTCTGCTCACAGTGAGACCCACCCGCTTTTTTGAGCCTCCCCAATGCCAGATCTTGATGCACATCATGTCGACTTGGATCGTCGTAATGCTGCCTGGAGCCCGAACAACTGCAATGAGGTAGCGTTCATGAAGCTCCTCTACAACGTGAAGAGTACGATTGGCACCAGCGGCCAGCAGCAGCTCCTGTTACTCGTCTTGAGTCCCTTATGCCCCGGCGAGTTTATCCTCGTCTGGACTGCTTGGCGTAGGACGCTGGCACACACCAGCCGCGAGCGTCGACTCAAGACTTGCCTCGGTGTTTCGTGCTTCCTGCGCTCGCAGCGCTTGCAGGTTGGGCGGCTGCAAGCCCATCCGTGCTGCGGGCCGCGATGGTCACATGAAGACTCTTGGATGAGTTGCGCACGTAAGGGATGGGTAGGCAGACCAGACCTCCATGCTTCCGTAAGCGAATTGGGGGTGGTTTCATCGAGGTGTTTGGTTCGACAGGATTGCATGATTTGCCACTGCCAATAGCTTTCAACAACTTGCTCCGGGGTGCCCAGAGCACGCGACCCTACAGCTGATCGAAGATCCGTGAGCTGCACGTGAACCTAAGCTGACGATCTGGTAAACTCGCGACCCACAAACCTCGGAATTGGCCCTTTAATAGGGAAGGTGTCATGGTCGTACTCAGGATGGAGGCAGCACTGGAGAGCGCCGTGGACTCAGAAGTGCTATCTGGTGATAGATGAAACCGCGATGCGCCGTGGTACTTGGCACAGGTTATGAAGACGCTTCAGATCCACGATGAGAGGCAGCAGTACACGACCTGGCTAGCACTTTGGCCCCTTTAGAGCTTCTACATGGCAGAAGCTATGATTCTGCTTGACAATGATAATCCTCGGCCTAGGCATGCCTTACGGCGGACCAGCGCGTGTCCATCGTGGAGTCCTTGGAAGACAAGCACTGGCCCTTCGGCCTGCAGGGGTTCAGTTCGGGCGTGTCGTTCTGCATGGAATGCACGAGGCGCTGAGAGTCATTTGTTGTGGCATTGCCAGCATCCTGCCGTGGTTGTCTGCCACAGGAATAAGTGATCACAGAATGCCCAATAGCCAAGGATCAACATGTCGATGCCGTACCCAATCTGGACAGGCGCCATGGCTTGACGGAAGAGTCTCAATGCTCGGAGCAGCTCGCATTGCGCGGTCGACCTGATGAGATGTAGCATTGGGATGCATTGTGTGTCCCTGTTACAGCTCGCGCATGCCTGGTGCCTCAAAATTAGGCCAGAGAGCATTACATCTCAGGCAAATCGACCCAGCATGCTTGGTGCCATCATCAGGCCGTGTCAAGCTGCAGCTTCCGAAACCCCACATGCAACTGTCTTATGCAGATAGCCCGGATTGACAGGCTTCTTGACTTCGACCATTCATGCAATATGGAAGGGTGTGTTTCCCTTGCAGCGAACTTCACCGAGATGAACGCCTTGACCTCCTCCCGGCAGGAGAGCTGTTTCGAGGTATGGTCGAATCCAAACCCCAACGAGTGAGCGGAGGAGCTATGCAGCTATGCTGTTTGGTCTCACGTCTAAGCCTGAAGTCGAACCCAAGCCCCTCTATCCAAAGTTGCAGCAAAGAGCACTTTGACAGGACTAGGCCGCTGCTACACGCTTCGTGATTTCTGGAACCCGTACCGTGTGATAGATGCGATGTAACCTCCCTTCATGCAGCATGCATTAGCGTATGAGGGTTCAATTTATGCAGGGTCGCAGCTTGTAGCGCAACGACAGTTTGCAGCTGCGACACTGTTCCGGGAGTTTAGCAAGAGTTCTTTCCGGGCGAAGGCCTGTTGCAGCCGTCACAGGAAAGCTACAGGTCCTCTAGCACTTGCGCAAAGGCACTCTCCCGGAGCCCCGTCAACATCATGCGACACTAAAAGCGAGCAGTGCCTGAGAGTGTCGAGAGAAGTGGAGCTCAAATCTTGAGCTCGACTTCCCGAGTGATCTTGTCCTCCTGTATATTCGAAGCAAGAACTAAGAAGATATTCAGATATTGATATTACTGAGCCGATCAGTTTCATGTACCTCAGCACCAAGCACTCCAAATCCGAAGCTCGGTCTGGAGTCGTGACTTGGTTGAACCCCTCGGGCTCAAGTCAAAGTCTGCCCGCCTCCATCTGAATCCCTGAAGACATCCTTCCAGGCTTCCTTTACCCAAGCTCACACGTCTAGCAGCTTCTGTCATTTTGCTCCTACGCTATGCCCAACACTCGCAAGCTTCAAACAGCCGTAGCATCAACCTCAGATTCTGTTTTCCCGCTCCAATGCCGGACACACTGCCGCCCGAGGCGGTTTCCTGGCAGAGAAGTGGGACTCGTGTGGCTTTTGGATTGCGGGCCTGTAGCTTCGAAACTAGGAGTCGATGGCTTTGTAGAGTCCCGTCCAGCCCTTCACAGAGATCCAAGGAGCTCTTCCGGGACTTCCTGCGCATTCGGAGCGTCAGTGGCGAGGGCCCGCAAGGCTGCCCGAAGCTGCTTTGAGGGTGCCTGGGAGGTTTTTCAGGAAGCTCTACATCTTGCGAACTCGCTCTGCGGCCCATCGTGTTCGTCTGTGAACAATTATCTCGAAGCAGGCATTGCATTCGTTGAGTGTGCCAAGCTTGCATCGGTGAAACAGCCCACCTGGAAGATTTAGACAACATTACATAACACAACATTTCCTGATGTCATTTTATGGCTTTGATTAACATGTTATACTATATGTATAATACGATGATAGTCTTTATTTTGAGTGCTATATATTTAATGATGTTCTATTCTATTATGTTCTATCATGTTCTATTCTACGCTTTTCTTTCTGTTGTATTTACATTCCTTCATGCTGCATTAATTTGTATGATTCATCTTTGTATTGTACCGTGTTAGATTTTATTCTGTGTATCATACAATACTCTACTATATTATGCTGTGCGATGTTTTGTTCTGTTCTGTTCCGTGCTATGATTCTATCTTGTTTACATTACTTGAAGCTCTGTCATGCTATGAGTTGTCTTAACATCTTTTGTTATTTTATGTTATTCATTATGCCAAGACATATCACTTTACATATATGGTGTATATGACAGTATACCATTCTATATTATATCATTCTATATTGTGTTATAGTATAAGATATTGTGATATATGAGACTACATAAAACACAACATGATTTTACATCATTCTATTTTGTCTTGTGACAAATACCGAATGTTTCTATGGCCTCATATTACGTTGTGTACCGTTCTATACTAGACTATTCATTGTGCCCAAGGTTTGCACACACAGACACAGAGATGCAGTGTGTCTTGTGTTTTTTTATGAGCCGGCGGCCAGGCTCCTACGCGGAGGCCGTCGCATGGCTTGCTGCCCAGTGTCGGCGCATGGGCCTCGCGACGAAGCAGGCCAGAAAAGACCAAACCGAGTGTCGCTGCACCAACCTGGCGTATCTCGGGTTCTCAGCAAACTTAACAAGCTTGCCCCAGGATGCAGGGGCAACCCGACAAGACACGAGAGCAAAGTGGCTTCTTGAGATCCGAAGCCTTCGCCGCACGACAGTTCGAGTGACCATCCCCGGGCTCCAGAGCTGCCATCCTCACTAGGTGGAGCCCGTGAAGGGAAAGCCGATTCTACTGGCCACTTGGGCCGGTAGCGACGACAGTCGCTTGGCCAGGTGAGTTATTTCGCGCGAGTTTCACTGCTCGATTCGACGATCCGAGCAGTCCTTCTTGAATGAGGCTTACCTTGCCTGCTGCTCAACTCGCACTATGATGCCGCTGCCTCAAGTAGACGGCAAGACAGACCATCGCAGTCGGACTGACACGTCGGCCTGCGAAAGGCATCAAAATCCTTTACAGGCCGTCAAGCCTTTCTGAGCAAAAAGATGTGTCTTGTGTGGATGCAGCGCATTTGGTCTAACTCCAGGATCAGGGAACTCTTGTCAATCCCGCTATCCCAAAGTCTTGTCTGTTTAAGGTCGTACCTGCCATGACCGAAAGCTGGTCCGTGGACCCTTGGGCCGCGGAGGCACCGAGAACACAGTTGAGGGTGGATTTGCTGGTGAAGTATCAGCTTGCGCTGCCGATCCGGGACCTGCTTTGAACGAGATTCCATTTACGCATGGCAAGCAGGGCGGGGTACGAAGACAAGCCCGGAGTCCACATTGGACATGGTAACAATGCTCGGAATATTGGGCGGGGACCCAAAAAGCAGTCGTCGAGTGCTTGGGCTTGTGTGGCTCTTTCCTCGTAGAAGAAAGGCAGCCCCCTCGAAATGAGCCCAGATGCAATAGGTTGTTGACGGTCGCATCTATGGGCGTGGTACGCAAGACATGAAGTCCGTCTGTGCCGGGACCTTACGAAAGCTAGTCTTCAGAAGTGCAGAACTAGCCAACTACGTAACCTCCTGAGCCTCAGCTCGGACATCGAAAGGTCCAGTACCTTTTCGCGATCGAACGATTGCGAAAGAGAGGCGCAGGGGGGGAGGGAGGGTCGGGGGGTGGAGGGGTGAGGACTTTGGGCATTTGGGGATTGAGATGTGCCGTCCAACTGATACAGTCGCCTACTTTTGGCCATGCCCAACGTGATGAATAGTTTGAGCATTGCAGGATTTGTCCCTCTCCGGACCATTCATGTGAGCTTCGTGCCGGATGAAGAGATTGGTGGCGTGGAGGGTATGGGAGAGCTCTTGAAGACCCCCGAATTTTGCCTGCACTTGAAGGATGCGTGCAGAGCTGGCTGCTGGGCGTTTGCATGTGTGGACAGTCGGGCAAGGAACTCTTCAGCACAAATTGTGCGGCCTCGAGTGAAATCCTGTTAAGTTGATAGTTGAGCACCTGCCCAGGAATTCAATGCTCTGGGCGAAATTGGGCTGGCACTGGACGAGGTCAGTTCGGGTCAGGGTCTGGGGTGTGCAGCGATAGCCCACTCTCTCGCTCAACAGTCCGACAGGCACGGCATTTTGAGCAATTTATGCTACATGATAACATCCATTCGCGAGAGCATCCGATGCCCAGAGCAGCCACGGGCTAAAAGCATGAACACGACCATTAGCGATGGTGACGATGTTGATGCTGATGATGATGGTGGTGATGATGATGACGACGACGTCAGCATTCATGGTGATGACGACGACCCTAGATCATGAGCATGACGGAAATGATGACGACAGCAGATAGTTCAGCAAAGCGTTTTTCCATTTCAGAGCACGAAACACTGACAGGAGCTGCAAGCTTGCACAGGCAAGGGTGTACCAAGCCACCAGGTCTATTATGCTGCCGTGACCTGGTTCTTGTTGGTGGTGGTGGCGGCGGTGTTACTGTGCGGCGAGGAGGTAGGTAGGCAGGCGGGAAGACAGGTGTAGGTGGGTAGGTAAGTTGGTAGGCAGGTACGTGGGCCATGCACCTTGCATGGTTTACACTTGTCTGTCAATGACACGTCATTGCAGGGCCTCTCCAACCCTGGAGACGCCTTCACAGTGTCGCCTTGCTGCCTTCAGAGAGTAGGATCCGATAAGCTGACGGCAGGATTTCAGGATCCGGCTGGGGTCAAAGGGGAGAAAGGTCCGTGACTGGCAGAACTTGCGCGCCCCAAGTGCTTAGACGATCTCGGCCGAGGTTCTACGGTGAGAGAACTCCTTGGTGGTTGCTGGTGCGAGCGACCGGACCGACAGGCTGAACAGGGAAGTGGCGGCAGTGTCGGCCATTCTGAAATGCAAGGGGGACTGTTTCCCTTTCAGTCGTTACTTACGCTCGGTGGCTGTGAGGACATGGCAGCCGGTTTATCAAGAACACGGCGCCACAGCTTCTTGTCTTCAGTCTTGGGTATCCTTTGCTTCTTAGGACTGCAACTGCGGGTCAGGCCACGTCCGTTTTTCCTAGTAATTACTTTGCGGTGTCGCTGACACCGAGTAGCCAGGTGTCTAAGTTGGTGCCTCCCCAAAACTACAAAGCAACAATCGGAGCTTTCCTCGAAGTGCGGGCCGAAGCCCTTCCTCCGCTCCTCTTCGGTAAGTCCCAGGAAGCTCCTCCGCTTCGCGGAGCGCGCGCTCGCCTTTCGCAAGGCCCAGGCAGGCCCTGGGAAGGGCGGAGAGGGCGGAGATCGAAAGCGGTTACTCGGAGCTGTGAAGATGGTTTCACAGGAGGATTCTTTGGGTCACGGGAGCAACGGCTGCAAGCACGGAACAGCCCGTCTCCCAGGACTCTTGCATAAGCTGTCTGCCACATGCTAACCAGTGTCACGATGGAGCTGGCTGTGCGCATGTTCGGCAACGAACACGGAATGCGTTATGAAATCTTCCAGTCCTAACGCAGACTGCCCGGAATTCATCAGCACTGCTGCAGCTAAAGCCATCCTTCCACTGCCTTTGCTCAACACACGCCGCCTGGTCCTGAGGCCAAGAAATTGGGTGCCTTTCCCAGCTGCTTCTGCTTCGTCGTCTTCGTCGTTTTAAGCTTGCGGCTTTCGCCTCCAGTTTGCCAGTCGTCGGTCTGAAGTGGTGAGCCGAAGTTGCTCTAGTCGATCTACTCCGCTCTTTCTGAAGAGATGGGGTCGACCGCCACTCGTCATTGCGTCACTTCTATGCGATTATATTAGGTTCTTGGCACATGAGCCAGCGAGAGAACATGCCCGGCAAAAGTTCTCGATGCCCTCATTGTGGCCCGCCAGCTTTTGCAAGGTGATGTCACAACCGTGAACTTGACGATGCTCCGATGTGGTGTAAGCAATGACAATGGGAAGACTTTCTGCCGCTCTGCCTGTTTCAGCCCTCACCTGCCGTGAGCCCAGGGGCCCAGAGGGGTTCCATCGCTGTGCATCAAGGCCTCAACGTGATCCCCACGGAGGCGGAGGCTGGTTTCGACGTTCGCATCACGCCCGACCTGAAGCCCAAGGCCAGAGGGGGGAGAGCGCGCTATGATTTTCGGAGATGAAGGGGTGATTCTCAAAAGCACGCTCAGCATGAGCTGGGATGCAAAGGCTGCAGGCGCTTGGCAGGGGCCTGGGCGGCCCGGCCATGCCGTGAACCTAACCCAACTCCCAGAGCTACCGAGCCCTGCAAAAGCCAGACGAGAAGATGAGAAGGCACGAATCAGTCCATGTCTCGTGGACGGAGAGCTACGAGGTTGGAGACTCCAGGGCCGCCCGGGCGTTTTGAATTTCTTCTGTCGGGGCACAAACAAGCCAAAGAGGACTTCAAGAACTTACTGGACCAGTGGTGCAAGGAGGACGAAGGTGCCCGGGCATGCTGCAATGAAATCGGAAGGGTTTACAGGAAGCTGGTCGCAGCTGGCTCTGTACTCGTATAGCTGTACGTCACGATGCAGCTTGATTCACCTCTCGAAACTCCAGATGTTGAAGAACACATGGCAGATCCGGTGCTTGTAGGATTTTTTTGGAAGATGCTACCCCCAGGCCCCAAAAGCCATAACATCAATACTCCGATAGGTGTTGCCGTCGGACTGCTCTTGTTGTTTCAGCGAACCTCAGGTATCACTTGGCAGATAGCACCGTGGACACGGGCTCTTCAAGAGCACCACACAACTGCTTCTCGGGCAGCAAGTTGACATGAAATTGTCACACTCTCATGTCTCAGAGCCGTAAAGAAGAATCCTAACATGCGAAGACCTACTCAGGAAATTACCTGACTCCCACGGCCGACGATCTAACAACAAACTTGGAAGAACAGGCACTCCAGCTCATGCTTGCGACTGCGCTTTGGAAGCCCAGCAGTCCCGCCTGTTGGATTTTGCAGCTGCACTCTACTCGAAAGGCTGATGTTCGTGATAGCAATCTGACAACAGCCGAAGGCAAACGTAACTACTGCAAACAACTGCAGGAATGAATTCCGCCATGCTCACACACAAGGCTACAGACGAGTCGAATCCCTGGTGGGTGGCTTTTCGCACCCTGGGCTGCGCATCAGCTGTTGTGTCGGTTCTGCTTAGAGGTCTGAGTCCTGAGAGTACTGTCTCCCTCAGCAGACTCACAACAGGAGAGTACTCGTTAAGCTATACATCCTTGGAAGGGAGGCATCAGTCGAAAGTGAGCCATGACTGTTCCTGATGTCTTTCGCGATGGTCCGAATCAGACAAGGTGTCTGCTTGGTGCATCGCTGCCTTCTGTGTGTGTGGAGTCTTGCAGCCTGTTTTCTCGAAGCGACCTGCCTGAGTCTGAGGCGACGCCATGTCGTCGATGTCCTTCGATATTGAGCCTGAGGCCAGCAAACAGCGCACTTCCTGTAAGGGATGGAGCCATACTTCGGGATCTTCCGACAACCAGCGAGGCTCCTAGAGCCCCAGAGCCATCGTCTCTACCCTCCACCTCGGCCCGCTCTGAAGCAGTTTCACTGCTGGGAGGTCTTTCCGGCTGCCACCGACTCGCGTTTTCTGCGTGAGTTGGGAATCCCGGCCTTGGGCTTCTCACCGATGAGGCCCACAGTGCCCGCCGGTGCTTGTCGGGTGGTCTGCTGCATTCTACCGCTTGAAGGCCTTCAGGTCTTCCGCGGAGATCCGCCAAACTGTTGCTCTGCTCACGCTTGCTTCCGCAACGTCCCGGCTTCCGTTGCAAAGCTTCCTCGCTGGGTTCGTTTCAACTGCTCGAAATCGGAGCACCAGCTGAATCTCAGCGGCATTGCTTGATCGCCCCAGCAGAAAGACCTCGAAACCCGGCAGAGAGTTTTTCGCGCCGTACAGAACTTCAACGAAGGCAAACGAGGGAGAAGACACAGACAGTAAACATATCTGAACCTGCGCAGGCGCTGCCCCATCTTGCTGCATGAGCATAACGAGTACCTTCCGGTGGACGTCTTCATGTCAGGCACGGCGAAGAGCCAGCTTGCAGCAGCACGCCATTGAATGCCATGATCTAGGCTATAGCTGTGGCCTACGTTCCGGGAAGGGCTTGTCGCTTTCTGCTTTTGGTTTTGGCTTGCAGTTTCTCGACATCTGCACGGAAACTTCACAGCATTTTTGCCCCCATTGCAACGAGGACAACGCTGTCGGTGGTAGAAGGACTAGATCAGGATCCGATCTGTCGATTGTGGTGCTGCGACCATGACCCGACATGGGCGAGAATCCTGCTGACTCATTCGGCGGAATCCGGCCTGAAACACTCGTGCTCAAGTGTCAAAAGGAGCAGAGTCAGAGTCTGGGTTGCTTTCATCCATCTCTCCAGGCATCGACGTCTATGTCGGCCTCATTGATGCGCTGGCATCTAAGCAGAAGCTTCAAGGCGAGGATGAGGCTGGACAGAAGCTGTGTGGGCTTATGCCGCACGCTGTGTCCGTAAGACATGTTTGCTACCACGCATGTTGGTGATCCAAAGAGTCAGCGGGAGCCAGAGGGGCAAGCTGCTGAGAAACCAGGCGCACGCAGGAGATGCCTGGATCTGCTGCAAGTTTGGCTCCAAAGTTCAAAGTAAAGTTATCGCGTGCCACCGCTCCCTGTCGCCATGGTGACTCGCGGCTTCAAGGAGTAAAGGTCTGCGGGCCCCAGATGGCAGAGCCCCGTTTGATCCCGAAGATGGTTGGATTCAGAGATTTAGCTTCCCCATCCCTTGCTCTGTCATCTGGCGGCAGCGGCGGCCGGGATGCAAACAAACCGGGCATCGTAGAGACTTGTCCATCCGAGTTTTCCAGGTTTAGACTGTTAGAGATGAGTATTTGCGTAACTGCATTAACAACCAGCACCTCAGCACAAGCAAGCCTAAGCAAAACGGTTGTTTTGCATTCCCAGTCAGGCCGCTACCAACTCAACAAAATCCAACCGAAGCGCGGAGGTATTGTTACGCACAAACTCTACAAGCATGACTGACATACACGCATCGGATATGCGCCAAGGAGTCCAATGAAATGGAAGCAGAAACTGAACAATCACCATAAAGCACACGCAACACCACCACACCTAAGCACCAAAACTGCGCGCAAGAACGAACACGCAGGCACCTAACAGCAAGATGCAGTCACCGATCAAGCAAGACACTGCAACAGCATGCTGAAAGAAAATTCCCACCGACATGCATGCATGGCTATACCTTACATGCAGCAACATGAAACGACTGAACTGGTCCAGATCAAACGCTATAGTGGGTGGAATAGTTTGCAACACCAACCAGAACATATCCCATGCGCACCTCACACAGCCCTTTCGCATAACAGCACCAGCAATGCCAGACACCAAATACAGTACCACTCCGAACTAGTGGCACAGAGCAAGGCCCAACGGAAAGGATTTGCAGCACGCACAATTAGGTAGAACCGAAACACTATCGTGTCTAGCAGCACCGAAATTAGCAACGTCAGCCACCTACCCGAGCGGCAGATCAGGAACTACTGCTAACGAGACTAGGGTCACAAGGGCAAACATACAACATCACTCCACATCCACCCACTACTATCAAAGCTCATCATCCGCCTGCCAACAATGCGAAACAAACGCCGGAAACAAAGACGATAAGCATGCATAGCGCACGCGACAAGCAGCAACAGAACAAGTAAGTCATCAATGATCATAGTTGCAAAACATTGCAAAACGTCACAACCATGCCGAAACGGAAAGAGCCCCTCGGATGCCTCTGCCAACCAGAGCAACATAGAGGAACAACGCACATGCCACGCGACAATATCTAGGCTGGACAGCACAGAGTGCACCAATACGGTCAACCCGCATAACTTTGACGTCAGCGGAAACCTCAACCACGCGCAACATATTAATTCGGCATCCGCACGAATGAAGCTGTGCCAAGCTGTCGCACCGAGCTTCGCAGGACGTGCAGCGTGGCCCCAAGCCCAAGGTTGCGGGTCTGGGATTCATGGGTTCGGGAATTTCCCATATCGAGTTTGAGGCTTTGGGTTTCGGTGTCGGATCGGGCTTCGCACTCGCTTACCGATGGGTCAGCTCAAGGTGGTTGACAGAAGATATTTATTTGGTTAGTTCGTGACTCAGTCCAAGGTGTTAATCATACGGCCACGGTTGGGAACATGGGCCCGCATGGGTGAGGCCCAGGTGTATTGTGTATGCTTGTAACCACATGCCCGTACCAGGAGTAGAGGCCCCAATCATCATGAAGCCCTTAGGGTCGAAAGGAAGGGTTTCAAGGCAGCAGCACTAGATGGACCATAGCGCCGGAGACGTGGAACACGTTGCAAACTCTGCGACGGAGGGGCGCAGTTCGAGCCCCAACTGATCCCAAAGAGTATTATCAAATAGGATGAGTATGAGCTTTGGAGACAAACATTCGAAAACAACCGAACCTTTTGACCCACCTCGTGCAGGGGTTCGGATCTTCGGCACCGCGATTCCGGGCAAAGACTTCGGAAGTGCCAGGCGGGATTTGGGGTTCCTGTGCAATGACAACAAAGAGTATTGGGAGAATGTTCTGGTTTGGAGGGCGGCTTGGTTTCGCCAAATCCCGTGAGACACTGAAATCGCCACACCGTCAGAAGCGGAAAAAATAATTGTGCGCCTGAACAGTTTGACTGACACTCACGTTTTCCCAACGCATTCATTATTTGATTGACTCAGGCCCCGACAGGAGGGCGGTCGGTGTAGGGTCGAGAGAAGCCAGAATTTTGTTTAACTTGTGGGTTTGGTTAGTGGGGTTGTTCCCGAGATGCAGTCGTTTGCAGCTTGCAGCGGCAGATACTGCTAGAATTTCAGCGAGTTTTGAGATTGAGAACCTTCCGGCCACTTCCGGTCCTATCTTTGGCAAGCCCGGTACCTTGCACCTCTGAGCCGAATTCACAAACCTCCATGTCCGACTTGTCCAGGCAAGCCTGCAACCTTAAGAATGCGAACCAGGAACCCAACTAAGCTCCAACAGCAAAACCCAGACCTTGAAGCACATCCACCGTCTTGGTGGACGCGCAAGACCAAACCTGATGTGCTGGATAATCCTTATCCTACGTACTACGTTTTTACCCGGAAGCCCGAAACCCGAAGCCAGAACCCGAAGCCCTAACCGCCAACCCCGAAGCCCAAGTCCTAATGGCCAAGGACCCGGCGCCTACAACTTGCCGAGGCAAGGGTGCCTTGCAAAGGACTCGGAAGGGTTTGTGTGGTCGGGTGTTGGGGTTGTGAAAGCTTGAGCTTTCCGGAAGTGTGTGCAGATTTTTGGGTGCCGGAATTTAGGGTTATTTTTTTGGCTCAGGGTTTGCATGAACACATGTATATGGTTGGGGGTTTCACTGCTTTGATGCTTCGGCACAACATCGTCTTGAAGACCAAAGGGTTTACCTGATTGTCAAAAGTTATCGGAGCGAATCTTGCGGCGGCTGAAGCTGTTCGGATTTTGTTTCATAGTATAAGGTTGTGGTTCTGCGGGCTGGGGGTGAAGCTGATGAGTGTGCTGAGCTGCTCCATTAGGATCAAGGATCCTGCGATGCTTGGATGGTCTTGGCTGGTAGGCTGAAACCCCGAAAGCGCTCCAGATTCCGTACAAGTATGTGTAGAAGCTCGATACGTGTCGCCTAAAGAAGCGTGTGAGGTTTTGGCATCACCCTACTTATATGGAAGCTTGATATCGGACAGAGCTCTGGAGCGTCCTTTCCCTGCAAGCCACGCGCACATACGTTATACACCCGGAGCCCGATCCCTGTCCTGCAAACTGTACTTCCCCTTTGATCTTCAGGAGGCCTCGCAAGAAGGCCAGAACGCGAACCTGGAAGCATTAAGCGTCCAAGAAATCCTTGCACGCTTAGGAACCAGACGCCTTGCTGCAAGCCTGAGGGCCAGAAAAGTTCAGCAAATCCACACCAAAAAGGCGCAGTCCGTAAGCTTATGAGCTCTACAAGCTCGAGCGCAATCCCCAAACGTTCTGAACACATCGAGCTAAGAACCCCATGCCCTCATATTCCAAGACTGGGCCGAACGCAGGCTCTTCGATGCTCCCAGCCCGGTGCCAGCCCGTGAAAGGGCAACGGTGAGGGTGTTTGGACGGGACTTTCCATGAACATCCATGAGCTACGGGGGGCTCTGTATACAGAATCCAAATACTGAGCTGCATACATGTTATGCAGATTCCAAACAATCATCTATATGTCGCATAAGACTTCATGTTTCGGTGTAGTCTCGAGTGATTATGGCACGTCATGGGCCATGGGTGAAAGCAAGGAAGGTTTGGGCCTGGGGTTCAGAGCTGTTGCATTTGAGAAGTTCTGTCAGAAATATGGCATCCAAAAGCATCTCCCAAACGCCAGGCCAGCTCCGTAAACCATAAGATGCCGGAGCCGAAACCTTGCAAGTTGCCGTGAATGTGGTCACATCTGCTTTCGAGTAGAAAGCCTTGGCATTGCGACATGGTGCAGCAATCCAATGCATCAATCCGCAGCGCTAGCGCTGCGGCGCCAGGCAGCAATGAGTGAAGGAAGCCATCTCGTGGAGCTTGCCGGATTTGTCGATTGCCAATTCACCTCGCTAGTAGGGAACCTGGTCAAAGCCGTGTCTGGTGGCTTATTCGGTCGCTGAACAAATCTTAAACACATGAACTGATTCAGAAGCATTTAGGGGGATCTCCCCTCACGATCGGCACTAATTTCAACCAGCTTTCTGCTTTTTTTGCAAGCGAAGTTCGCAAGGCTTGTCAGCATTTAGCAACGCGGTGGGTGGCCTTGACTACTCTGAGCACATCACTGACAATATGTCCTTGACCCGCTAGGGTGCAGAAAGCGGCTTGGCGAGTGCCGGCCCGAAAATACCAATGCATCCAGGAATTTTCGTTTGCATGATTCAGGTTTGCAGAGCAGCTATGTGGCCCAGGTGCTGACGAAGACGCAGAAGCTGCCAGCTTACTTCGAGGATGGGCGAGGGAACTAACTGAACCCAATGCCTTTCGCAAATCCCGTCCAAGTTCCTGCACTGAGCCATGTAGACCACGGAAAGAGGACCTGACCACCACCCGCTGTCTGTTTTCCACAGTCTGCAGCGAAGCCTCTCAGCCGCAAGCTGCACCGCAGCATCGCAGCAAGCCCTGCTCGGCAGGAGCCCGGCAACAAGATCGAAATGACCCCGCCCGGGTCCAAGAAGTCTTCGACGTCATTGTTTTTGTCCAATGTTGGTCATGGCGGGTTCAGGAGTGAAAGAGCGTTCAGGGTTGTGCATGTGCGGGACACCGGTGTGGTGAAGTTTGATGTAGGCGCCCTTACTATGCCCAAATGCGCAGCGTTGGCCTGCGTGCAACATTGCCGGACAAACTTGCAGCAATCCACTATTGGGGCCCCTTGGGCCAATGGTTTCAACATAAACTT